TTATTCAAGTTCTTTAGGTGTTTAAAAATTACATTAGTGTTCCGTGTTCTAAACAATTCCTCTTGGTAGTTTTTCCTGTCCACTTCCGATGATTCAGTTACTAAATTTTCAAACAGTTTAACTTGTTGTCTTCTGTAGTTGGTCGGTTTGAGTATACATGATTGCCGTTTTGTTTGTAACTTTTTGATCAAATTTGAAGTGCTACTTGTTATCCAAGGTGGAAGTGATTGCCTATGTCTTGTTCTGAGAGGCACAAAACTCTTAATGATTTCATCCAAATATTGGGTGTACTCCTCATGCATTTTGTTAATGTTTGTGTGGCATACTGGTTCAAATGGGTTCTCGTTTATAAAATTGTTTATTCCTTCAAAATCGGCATTTCCAAAACTTCTAAAATTTTCCAAGTATGGTTTCGGCTCTGATACCGTGCATTCAATAGACAACATTATGGCATTGTGATCTGAGCAGTCATAAATCTTGGAAACGTTAAAATCTTGTTCGGCACTTGTATAGCAATTCCGATAGAAGGCTACGTCTAGTATGTTCTTCACACATGTTGGGAAATCTATCGCCTGCCTAAAGAGTCCATTTTCAAAAATTTGCAGTATTTGGTTTTCTTCCTCGTCAGTACTGGTGAGGGTGTTCCAGTTTGTTTCTGGGAAATTTAAATCCCCACATAAGAGAAACGGTTTGTTTTTAGGAATGGCTTTGATCAGTTGTTCAAATTCATGCACTTTGTATCTGTAATTACTGTTTTTTGGCGGATTGTAGAATGAGCCAATTATCATTTCAGTTTGATGGAGTTTTATACTACATAGCACACATGAATCAGGAATGTCATGTTTGGTGGATAAGTCCTCGGTAATTAGACTATTCTTGACAGCTATTAGGCTGCCTCCGTGACAGTTTTTACCACTCACAATAGCTCTATCAGATCTATAGATGTTATATTCACTTAGAAAAAGCTCTGATGATTGAATATTCTCGTTAAGCCAAGTTTCGCTTAAGCATATGACATTAAAATTTCCAACTGCAATTGCATTTGCTAGCTTAGTTCTTCTCTCTATGTTGATTAGGCTTCTAGTATTTAGTTGCAGAATGTTGAGGAATCCTAGTCAATGCTGGGGTTCCTGAACTTCAGTGTCAATAGTTACTTTCACACCATCATTGAACAATTCTAGATTCCTTATTTTCAGCTTTTCGCGAGGAACGCCTTCATCTAGTAGTTGTCTTCGTTTCTTAAGGATTTCGTTCTCTTTAATTGCACTCTCTTTGGTCAATGCTGGTAGCAGGTAGACCTCTTTTTCGACCAATTGTTCTCGCTTTTCTCGGCTTTTTGCTAGTACTAGTCGTGCTTCATGTTCGCTAGGTACAGTTACCAGCAGTGTTCTTGGCTTCATTCGATTACGATCAAATTTTCCCAGTCGTTTTAGTTCTATTATTTTCGGCTTCACTCCAATTATGTCTAGTATTTCGTTTACTTCGTCATTTGTTGGGACAAGGTTTTCTCCTTTTGTTTTCTCAGGGTCCTCTTTGACCCCTTGTATCCTAAAACTTTGATTTATGTTGTGATCAGAGTTAGATCTGGCAGCATGTTGAGTGGTTTGAGCTTGATTTATCCGGGTGGTGGTTTCAGCAGCTACAACGGCACTATAAGTTTTTTCCACTTTATCGCATGTCGTTTTCATTGCATTTCCAATTTTTTGATCTACTAAATCGGTAAGTCTTCTTTCCATGCTTTTAAGGCTTTCAGTTACATCAATGTTTGAGAGCTTCTCGTCTATGTTGGCCAGGGTTTTGCATCTTATAAAGTTGTCTCGTTCATTATTTTGCACACAAGTATTACAAAGCAACATGACATTCGGCCCTAGTTCTTTTATTCCATTTATGGCCACTAGAGACAACCCAACACAAGTTGGTTCCAAATGCATTTGAGCGTTGCATGCGACACAAGTGTATGTTTTCTCGTTGCTGGCAAAGCCTCTTTTACATGTTTTGCAGTTTTTGCCCATTTTTGCTTATACTATGGATAGAAAAACAGTTAAGCCTGGTGGTTCCCGAAAAGGGGAGGCCTGCGGTTCACTATTTCTACTTACGTTAATAGGGGCACTGACAGTTCTTGAAACGACACTCGTAATATACCAGATGTCCTTCTGTATTGCAGATGTTCGAATGTTTATCGTATAAGATTTTATTCTTGAGAATACTTTTAATGCCCTTCAGACCTTCTTCACTGAGGTGCACTTCGTCAGTTTTCAAATGATATGAGCTGTGGATTTTTTCACTCACTCCTCTAAACTTCCAAGTTCCTTTTATCTTTCTTAGGAATTCGTTTATTTTTGCAGATCGAGCTCGGTTCTCACTACGATGAGGGATTCCGATGACGAAAACTTTTTTGGCTCGTTCACACAGCTCCTCGGCTAGCTTCGACAGTTCTTCAGCAATGTCGCCTGCAGGTATACTGGAGGGGTCTTTTCCGTTGAAGGCGTCGTTTCCGCCGATGAGCAGAGCGATGATGTTGAATTTGTCTTTCTCGGGTAAGAAGTTTTGGACCGCACCAATTCGGGCCCCAGGTAGGGACAAGATATTGAAATTTGGAAAATCAAGATGGCGTGCTTGAGAATCCGCAATCAGGAGATTTTTTGAAGATGATGTCTTGAGCAAGTGATATCTTCTGTCGGACAATTTCATCGCGGGGCAACCATTGCTACCCCGGTAAACATTTCAACTATCTATTTAATAGCGCAGATCTTAGTTGGGAAATTATAGATAGGTCAAACAACCAAACAAAATTGCTAACACTAGAGGCAATACATATCAGGAAAGAGAAACCGGGCTTGAACACGCGCGATGAGTTTAGGAGCAGGGAGTTAACACTGAAAATTTAGTCCCAAAATATTTTTGGTTTTTTATTCAAAACGTACATGTCTAAATCGAAATTATGACTCAGAAACTTCCAGACAAATTAATTTTAAAATGTTTAATTAATTTTAGAGGTTAAAAGTATTTTAATCTTAATAGTAATTTAGAGGTCAACTGTGATTGGCTAATTTTTTATCATGATGGTTTAGAACCAAATTGTATGTGATTTATTGTAAATAACATTTGTAAATTGATGTTTTATCGTCATTTAGAGTAGTTTATTGTAAAAATCCTGACGATGCACATAGTTGCGAAAACGTTTGAAATTTACTTTTTAGCAAAAATTTCTTCTATAGAATTAGTTTTGATCCGATGTCGATGTCTTCTTTTTTATTTTGATCGAAAATTGCTCTTGAGAAATAGATCACTATTTTATCGCAGTGCAAGTTTTATCACTGAGCAAATTTACTTAGGCTCATTACTGTGTTGACAAGAAATTAGATTCTTCTTTGGACCGCATAGACCACAAGCTGGCATTGAGATAAGACCAGGATCTACCACAAAGCATAAAGACATTGTATAATTCGAAGATTCGCCCAAGCGTAGCTCTTCGTATTTTATTTGATTGAGAACTACTTCGCTTATGAGATTGAATTATCTTGGTTAAGCTCTTAGAAATATGAAGGAAATGAATGAAAGTTATTACATATTTAAGTATTTTTTAGAAGTTTAGAATAGATATGACGTTAATATTTAGTTCTTTTTTGACCCAGTGGATGAACTAGAATAGAATCTGTAGTGATGACTGTTCTATATGATAATTGAAATAAATTTTGACAATGAATTAAATAAATAAGTCGTTACTTTTTTGGCAAATATGAATTACTGTTTCAGTTTTTTGTTTCTGGAAACCAGATTTTACCAGCTATTTTTGATAAAAAAATGCACCACAATATAAAAATTTCAAAACTTGAGCAATTGTAAACGGTAAATAAGCGGCCTCATATTGCGTCGTTTGATGACCGAAAAAAGTTATTGTGTGTGTGTGTGTGTGTGTGTGTGTTTTTAACGGGAGAGGATTGAAATTTTTTTAATAAGTTTTCAAGTCTTTTTGAATTTTCGTCTCAAAGGGTTTCTGATCAGTTTCTATTTTCGGCTTTGTTACCGCTTGATAAGGCTTCTCCCGATGCTGATCGCTCTTTCAATTGTTCTTTCATTTTTTTCATTAATAGCTTCATTCATGTTGATCGGTTTGTTGTATTTTTTTCACAAATACGGGGCTTTCTTGTATTGTATTGCAAGTGGCGCGAAAATTTTTGAACCTTTTATTTTAGGTTTCTACGTGCCAGTAGTATGGTGTCTGCATATTTCGCACGGAATGATGAACACGGTTATTGGGTCCAGTCAACTATACCATGCTCGAAATGTGGGCTTGGAGTTGAGTCAGATCAATTTCGTCTGGACTTTTGGCTTCATCGGATTTGTCCTCGGAAGGTTCACTAGTAGGTAACGACTGTTTGCTCTCCAGACCTCTCAGTGATGCAAAAATAGGGGAGAGTTATCAGATCGATAGCTTTGGGCTAGTCTTAAAAGTAGTGTTGCAACAATAGTTCGAACGTTCATTCGCGATTATTCTACAAAGTTGTAGAACTTTGTAGAACAAAGTTGTCACGTGAGTGTGAATAATTGCAATTCACGCATGCTTCTCTGTAATTGGTTGAAAAAGGATCAAAATCGCATCGGCTTTTATTTAATTCAGTTCAAAATGATTGAAGTGAATTATGGCTGCTGCTAACCATATGTGATAATTGGGATTTGTTAACTACGTGACTCGAAAACGAATATTTCATTTATTTTTTTGCGAAAGTTCCAGTTTTTAGTGGAAAAAAATTACTGCTCAATAGGGTTGTGCAGTTACTAGTAACTAAAATTCATTTACTAGTAAGTTACTAGTAAGTTACCACTTTTTTACAAGTAAGTTACTTTTACTTACTAGTAAGTTTCAAAAACTCAGAATCTGCTTGAAACTACCAAAATTGAAGACTACTCATTTTACACAAACTCAAAATCCGCTAAATAATCATTATGATCAATATTATCAAGTTAAGCAGCGTTGCATTATATGAAAACATGTTTATCTACTCTTTCGACTGATAATTGAGCCTCATTTTTTCAAAATTTTCATTTTGGTTCAACTTACTAGTAATAAGCCTTATTTTGCTTACTAGTAAGTTACTAGTACTTTTACTAGTAACTTACTTACTAGTAAGTAAGCCCGCACAACCCTACTGCTCAAGAAATTTTGTGAACTTCAACATTCGAATGAACGTTCGAATGTTCGTGTCAAACCGTCGAACTCTTGATTTGAACATTTGTTGCAGCACTACTTAAAAGCGATGTGAATTGTTAGTACTCGTTATTACGCAAGTTGCGGGTAAGCTTGAACTCGACTTTGGACAGCAATCAACTTGCATCTTACACTTTCACCTAGAGCTGCTTTTTGTCATGTTCACGCTGGTGTTTGAGAAGTTGGGTCATTTTCTGGTGGTGTCTGCAGTTTTCATCGTAGATGCAATGGTTTTTGATTCGCTCCTGTTATTCAAGTTAATATCTCTGACGTTGTATATTTTCCTTGGTTTGTTTTTGCTTAAACGCTTTACTTGGCCTAAATAGTTTTGGTTTATGTTTTATTGGCTAAGATGCCTTATTTTGTGTCGCTTCAGGGCAAAATGATTTTTTGCAATAATCGATTTTGCATAAATCATTTTGGAATCAATTAAATTTTTGTTTCAAGTGCTCCGGCTCATCTTGCTCAATTATTACGATCCAAACTATCTAAATTATTAACTGTGAAACAAACCAAGATTTTTTCAGAAGTAAAGTTCGTATGAGTTTTACGAATCCATCATGTTTGTCAGAGGTTTTTAGGTGAACCCTGAAAGTTTCACTCGAAATGCATCCATAGGTTAAATGCTTTTTTTTTTAAAAAAGGCAGTTGAAGAACTCGAAAAAACATTGACCTATAAAATATTGGCTACGGTAATGATAATATGCGAGGATGTGAGATTCATAATCTGCTGGTTAGAGTTTCGATTCCGGCATATAGAAATTTTTTTCCTTTTAAAGGCTTCCTTTTAAATTTTCACAGCTACTTTTTTCTGTTTTCTTGCTTGTTTGCGAAGCGCAGATTCACTTCTATGCAAAACTAACAATTTTTAAAATTGTTTGATTGAACATCTGATCAAAGTAATTAATATCACATGCAAATATGCTTATCGCTACGCCCCAATAGGAAAGAATATTATCGTCAAACTACAATAGTTATGATTTTGCAGTCATTGTTGTGATGGTTCTATTCACGTTGTCCATCTGCGCCTCATAAAATATTTGCAATTGATCTTTGTGCTACAGACTTGCTGAAATTAGTTCGAGAGCTGCAATGGAGCTTTAATAGATATTCTGTTTCAATTTGGTGCTTATCATAAGTAAATACAAAATGAAGGCATGGGTATGTCCGAATTGGTTTGAGTCGGTGTATGCCGCCACACTTTAATTGGATTGATCTAAGCAGCCTCATGTCTATATATATTTTCATTAGACTTTCGAATTTAAACTGACGAAACTAATTTAGAGAATAACACGTCTTGTATCAATTTTTAAAACTAAGTTTGAAACATTGTCCAAGCTAGTCTTTTTCTCTTAAAGAAGATTTTTTGTCATTTGTTTGTTTGCCATGTTTAGAAGATGGACATCACTGGCAAAATGTCTTCCTTTTTTTTCGCCGGCTGTGGAGTGCCCTCACCCCTATTCTCTCTGGCTACCTGTTTGAATCCGCACTCGGACCCATGTATATCATGTATTTTGCATGCTTCTCATGCTTACTGCAATGTGTCATTTTCGCCAGTGCTTGGACAGTAACCAGATACGCACAGCTGAAGTAGAAGTATGTTTATAGCGCAGAAAAAGAAGAGAACGCGAAAAAAGAAGCAATGAAATTAAATTTTAACTTTTGATGGAAGTAGCGCCTTATTTTATACTTGAAACGTACTTTTAATACTTTTCGAGTGTGTATCAATGAGTTTAATTTAAGATAATAAGTAATGGAGTTTGTAATTATTGCACAGTTCGAATCCTGTCTCACTCAATTTTATCAGAAGACGAAGAAAATATCTCTGAGACTGCTAATGGCTATTGCCGTTGGTAAGCATTATTAATTTTATTATGTGTTTTGTCGTATTTTTTACACAAGCAAAGCTTGTGTTATATTTTGTAATTTACCATTTTTCTCTAAAACAAAATTTTCTTTCCCAAATCAATTTTTCTTGCTGAATTTGAATTTTATCAACACGTCTAAACTGATTATTCAGATAAGATATTATCCTGATTCTAACGGGCGCAAAAAATGTTGGTTACTCCTTTGTTTTCAGGTCTGAATGAAGATGTCAACTTCTTTTGTGAAAAGCATGAAAACATAGGCGGTGAAGGAAACCCGACTGCTATGCGATGTCTCTCTCTACTATCCACCTCTTGAGAAGTTGCCGTTAAGCAGAGTCAAACCCGGTTAATTGAGGTGTGAGGAACACAGTGATTACGGGTAAGTGAGGAGTTTTGTTAGCAACTAGTTATTTTTCGATTGAAATATACTTAATTGGATATAACATTAGTTAATGCGATAGACCGAACTAACCCCCCCCCCCCCTCCCCCCTCCCCCCTCAAATATTCGACCCCATGCTGACCGAAAGGGTCCCCTTTGTACTATTTGGGGATATCCATTTTTTGGCTGACTGACCCTCTAGCGCCAATATATACTAATTTTGAAGGGAGAGCGCGCGCCAAAAAACTGCTTGAATTCTTGTTTTTTTTTAGAATCTTTTTCCTCAAAAGTTACTTCATTCGAGCGAAACCATTGAAAATTTTTCAGTTTTTTTTCCGAACAGTTTTTTTTGTCTGTCGGCTTGCTATGCTATGTTTTTTGATTTATTGTAAGTATCACCTCATTGTTTAAACAGGATGCAGAAATACGTCTTTCTGCATCCTTTTTATCTTCCTTAAGCTTGTTTCGGTTGTTTTCAACAACTAGACAACCAGGCAATCCGACAGATCAGGAATCAGACAAATAATGTATCAGCCAATCAGAATCCAGATAAAATTTTTATTGGACAAAACTTTAAACGTAATAATAGGCCGATATAAATTAAGCAGAATATGCAGTAGTCTGTGTTCGGTTCAAGTAATTACAGAACGGGGTGGCGCTGATTTTTTTCTTATTAATATCACGGATCTACTTAACAGTTATCCTCTTTTAATAAAGGGGGCATGGGCGGATCTAGGATTTTCTCGAGGAGGGATTTTCTGAGCTCTCCTAAATCACTTTAAAGACCCCATTTTGATAAAATTTTGTGCACCGCAGGATCCCCTCTTGAAAGTAGTATATTTTGGCGCCTGAGGCGTCTTGGGAAAAATTTTAGGGTCAGTCAGCCAAAAATGGATGTCTCAAAATAGTACAAAGGGGCACCCCTTGGGTCGACAGGAGGTCGAATCCCTGAGGAGGAAGCAAGGGGTGGGTGGTTGGTTGTGCGTATGCTCCTTCCTAAATCTGCTGGTGAAAGTGGGGACTGATAAGTATGTTAAATTCACAAAGCTACTAAAGTTTTCGACCAATCAGACTACAGCAACGACTACATCAGACTACAGCAGTTTTAAAAAACCGGAAAGATCTAAATTCCAACAGCTGTTTAAGTTGTAAAGTAAAATGAACTTAAGGGAAGAAATATTACCTTGTTTGGACGTTCTCGACATAAACTGAACATTTCGATTAGAAAAGGAGATTTTGTGACACTACTTATTAAGAGTAATGAACGTAATGAAGACTCTTATATAGGTCTTGCTGATTTTTTTTTCAGGAAAAGTCTCCATAGCGACAGATGTGCATTCAAACATATTGATGCGTTTATGAATACACTTAGGTATAGGTGCAATTTTTGAGTTCAATTGAAAGCCATCTGCTGAAAAAGACCTAACTGAACTGGAATTGATCTTTCTTATTCGGTTCAAACTGAAAGATCACCTCCCGATTTTTGTTAAAATTAGCTGGTGAAACATGACCTTTAGTCATTGGTTCGAGCAACTTTGTGCGGGTGATTTACCATATCTATTTGACCTGCATTGCTACTGGATTTATCACTCAAATCTCATTAATTCACTCCTTATTAATCAACCGTTTGTCGCTGCAATAACCTTGATAGGTTATGGGCCCAGATGCCCAATCACGAGTGAAAAGTCAGGAGTCAAGATTGACTGTTGGTTCAAACGATTAAGTAAAAAAGCTGAGATTTGCAGTGGAGTTGTGACAGTGAAAAACTACAACTCGAAGTATACAACTGATCAGTTAGAGAACTGCGAGAATAGAAGCAGGCCAAAACAACTTGGAGAAAGACGATTGATCAGACAGAGAAGTGCAAAGATAGAAGAAGGGTAACACAGCTAGTAAAGACAGGCAACTTTGACGACAGAAGCAGGGCAACACAACTTCTAGAGATAGACAACTCTGACGATAGAAGCAAGGAAACACAACAGAGAAGAAGAGAAGACGGTCAAAAGCTACACGAAGGGTCACTGAGTGAGCACAGCAGTGGAAGAAGCACTACACTAATGATAGTGAAAAAAAACTGGAACAAACTGATAAATTACATGTTTTATTTGTAAAAGTTGCTAATTTATACTCAATTTTTGCGGAAGGATGAATTCGTTCGTACGCGGTTGCTCGAATCCGACACAAAATCAATCCAAAGAATACATTGTAATTAAAAGAAAAAGAAACTGATACCCCAGAATAAAAAGACGAATTTCTATTTTGCTAATATATATATTACCTAGTATGAAATCTGAGGAGGGACCTTAGCTTTGCTAAGTCGCTGATGTGTTATTCAGTACGCACTCCGTTAGGTTCCAAATCAGATTTAGGTAATCAAATATACTTGCATAGTTATATAAGCGGGCGGTATTGATGTTTATAGAATATGATTTTGATGTAAGAGAAAACGGGGTCATTGAACTTTACCTAGGGCAATACTTAACTTGGAGATTTTGGACTGGAGCTTAACTTTTGTGTGAGAATTAAGTCGAAAGGAAGAAGTTGGATTAGGAAAGAAATGTCGAAAACTGATATGATAGTTTTTTCGGGAAAAGAAGAAGATTTTTCCTACTTTGAAGAGCAATTCGAGGCAAGAATTTTTCACTTGAAGTTATTCAAGATTTTAGATGAGACAGTTGATTATAGAAATTTTATGCCAAGTTTAAGACCGAATGCAAGCAGTGATCAAAAACAAGCTGCGATAGATAAAGGAAAAGAGATTTTTGAAGAAAAACAGTTGCATATCTGGTACGAACTTGTACAGGCTCTAGATAAGAAATCAGTTTTGTCTTTAAGACCTTATAAAGGCAATGGTAGCAAAGCTTGGGATGTTTTCCGGAAAAGGTTTGAGAGTTTTGAAAGACCCAGACTGCAAAAACTAATCTCCGAACTTACAACTTTGAAAAAGAATAGCAATGAAACAGTGATAGATTATTTGACTAGAGCAGAGGAGATTCAGTATAACTTAGAACAAGTAAATGAAGGAGTGAGTGAAAAAATGTTAATTTCAATTATTTTGAAAGGACTTCCAAAACAATTTGAAACTTTTTCTAGTATAGGTAAGTTAAGTAGAGATGAGAAAAGTTTAGATGAGTTGAAAAGAGATTTAGTGAATTTTGATAGCGAGAGACAAGTAATTGAAAAAGAGCATGCTTTTAATAGCGAGAACAGAGTTTGTTTCAAGTGTCATAAAAGAGGACATGTGTCGAAACAGTGCAGAGAAAACTTAAGCAGCAGACGAGATAGTGAAGATAGAGCTCGAAAAATTCAGTGCAAGGAGTTTGGACATATTGCAAAATATTGTCAAGCAAAGAAAAAGTTCATTAAGACTAAACGAGAACAGCAGAACCTAGTAGCTGAAACAGAGGCTCATTTAAGTTTCTTGAGTGGAGTGTCTCCGGGCGAGGACTTAGTTGTAGATTCTGGAGCTACCAGTAATATGATTAAGGATCGAGACATGTTTGTTAGTTTAGATGAGAACTTCAAAGGATCGGTTAGCAATGCAAATTTCTCTGAATCAAAAATTTTAGGGAAATGTGAAGTTAGATTCAGAGTGAAAGATGAGAAAGGCGAGTTTAAGATGATTGAGCTGAAGGATACTTTGTACGTTCCTGAAAACTCAAGAAATTTGCTGAGTGTATCAAAAATGAAGAAAGCAGGAGCAGAAGTTGTTTTTGGTGCGAGCTCGTTCATTCGCCAGGGAATTGGTTCAGTTTACCCATTAAGAGAGGACAGTGGTCTCTTTTTATGGGACACTTTTGTAGGACAAGACGAGTGTTATGTAGTTAGCACCTTGAAACAGTGGCATTGCAGGATGGGTCATAATAACTACAAAGATTTAAGTCATTTAGAGCAACATGTTGAAGGCATGAAGATAAGTGATTTTAAAATTAAGAATTGTGAAACTTGTGAGTTAAATAAAGCAAAAAAGAAGTCAGTCCCCAAAGATTCTTATACCAGGGCAACCTGGACACTAGATTTTGTTCACACAGATATTTTAGGTCCTATCGACCCGATAGCAGAGGATGGACATAGATATGCTATAGGTTTTGTGGACAGTTTTTCAAGATATCTGAAAATTTTCTTCATGAAGACGAGAGATGAGGCAACAGAAAAGTTGGAAAAATTCATAGCAGACATAGGAGTCCCTCAGACTTTAGTTTCAGATGGCGCAGGAGAATACATTGGTCAGGATTTTAAGCGAGTTTGTAGGAAACAAAGAGTTATACTGGAAACATCGGCTCCTTATACCCCTCACGAGAACGGAAAGATAGAAAGGGTGTGGGGAACAATTACTCCAATGGCTCGCTGCATGATTTTTGATGCGAATTTATCGAAAACTTTTTGGCCTTATGCTCTTAATATGGCTACTAGTCTCAAAAATATGTGCTTTCATTCTGCTATAGGCAAAACAGCCTACGAGTCTATGTATGGAGAAAAACCCAACCTTAATTTTGTTAAAACTTTTGGGTGTATAGCGTATAGTTTTGTTGAAAAACAGTTTCGCAAAAAACTAGACAAAGACTCTAAAAGGGGAATTTTTCTGGGGACATCGGAAAATAGTAAGACTTATCTGATAGGAATTGAGAGTGAAGGTAGACTCAAAGTGCAAAAGACTAGAAACGTTAGTTTTGACGAATCTAAGTTCTACTTTGAGAAAAAGATAGAAAGTGACGGAGGAGAAAGAGTAGGTAATGTAGTATTTTTTGGAGAAGTTCTCGAAAAAATACCGAAAAATGCTAAGGAAGCTTTAGCAGACCATGATGGCAAGAAGCAATGAAAAAAGAGCAATGAATAGAGAAAAACAAAGTTTGGGAACTAGTTAGAAATAGAGGAGAGAAGCCAATAGGCAGCAGATGGCATTTTGCTTTGAAGTACGGACCTAATGGTGAAATTTCCAGGTTTAAGGCTAGGTTTGTTGCTAAAGGTTTTAGCCAAGTTGAGGGAAGGGATTTTCACGAAACGTATTCGCCTACAGCCAAGATGTCGACCATAAGAATAGTCCTGAGCTTAGCAGTTCAAAATAGGTATCAGTTGAGACAGTTAGACATTAAAACTGCATACTTGAATGCCAAACTAGATGAAGAAATTCTTATGAAGCAACCTGAAGGGTTCGAGAAGTTTGATGAAGAAGGAAAACCTTTAGTTTGTCTTCTGAAGAAAAGTTTTTATGGACTGAAGCAGTCCGGTAGAAACTGGCATAGGACTTTAAAAAACTATCTTGAGGAATTAGGTTTTGAAAATTCAGTTTTTGATGAGTGCTTGTTTGTTAGGAGGATTGAGGGAGAGATAGAAGGTTTAAATTGCTTGTGGGTAGATGATATAGTGGTTTGTGGAGCAGACAAAAATTTCTGTAGCTGGTTTGAAAACAATATTTCTGTAAAGTTTGAGATAAGCGAGATAAGTGATCTTAAACGGTTCTTAGGAATGAAAATTGATTACTCCGGAACCGAAATTAGGATAAGCCAGGAGAAATATGTTGAAAAATTGATCTCAAGATTAAAGATGACCGAGGCAAAGCCGATAACGACTCCTCTTGGTGAAAACGAAAAACTGACAAAAGAAGATTGTCCTTTAGAAGGTAGCATAGAACAAGAATATGAAAAAATATGACTATCGAGGACTTGTTGGTTGTCTAATTTACCTAGCTTTATCAAGTAGACCCGACATTTGCTTTGCAGCAAATCTTCTAAGTTCTTTTGTGGAAAACCCAGGTGAAAAGCATTGGAAAGCCGGGAAAAATTGTCTAAGATATCTGCTAGGAACAAAAAGTTTAACTTTAGTATTTAGGAGAGATAAGACCTTGAATCTTGTTAGCTATTCGGATGCGGACTGGGCAGGAAATATAGACAATAGGAGAAGTACCTCAGGATATTGTTTTGAGCTCAGTGACAACTCAGGTGTAATAAGTTGGTCTCGCAGACTTCAGCGTTGTGTATCAACTTCAACAGCCGAAGCAGAACACAATGCTGTGGTCGAAACAGTGAAGGAAGGAATTCATTTACAGGGCATACTTAGCGACTTAGGCATAATTTGTAATAGGCCTCTAGAAGTTTTCGTTGATAACCAAGCTTGTATTGCCCTCTGTAAACTCTCAATGAACCACGGAAAGACGGAGCATTTTGCCATAAAACTACACTTCCTTCGAGAGTTGACAGAAGGTGACATTAACCTTTTTACCAACAGCAAACATGCCTGCAGACGCATTGACGAAAAACTTGGGAAGATGCAAAACTGCATTTTTCCGAGACATTCTACTAGGAACCACCCAATTTGAAAGGCGGGGTATTGGTGATTTTTGCTAACTGAACTGGAATTGATCTTTCTTATTCGGTTCAAACTGAAAGATCACTTCCCGATTTTTGTTAAAATTAGCTGGTGAAACATGACCTTTAGTCATTGGTTCGAGCAACTTTGTGCGGGTGATTTACCATATATATTTGACCTGAATTGCTACTGGATTTATCACTCAAATCTCATTAATTCACTCCTTATTAATCAACCGTTTGTCGCTGCAATAACCTTGATAAATAGCACTCTCCAAATACGAACGTGGAAATGGCGCGAAAAAACGTGAACGATTTCTACTTTCGAAAGTGGAATTTAACTTTTAGATTTCCAGCGGAATGAAAACTTTACCTATTGATCCAGTTTTCTCTAGTCGGCTAATAAGTCTAGTAAGTTAGTCGGCTAATTTAGTTCTCCATTCGGCGGTAAGAATCAAGTCGTTTCGTGGTAAATATCGTCTAATTCGCGGGAGAATTGTTGATTGGCGGCATATTCATGTCGAAAATGTGGCAAAATTAGGTTCAAATGTCGTAGACAATGCCAAAAGATGATTTGTTTGAAACAAGTTGGCTTTGTAAACTCGGGCTTGGGATTTTTTGAAGCTTGTGAGAGATTCTTTTTGAATTTTTAGATTTGTTGTAAATACGAAAACTTATTGCTAAATATTGGTCTATACTTGAGTTATCTCTTCATAGCATCATCTTGTTTAGGAGGAAAAGTGAATGTGAAGGCTCAAGTGCTCGTCATCTGCTTGATATTCATGTACTACGTCAACACGTGTGGCATCGAGCGCATCTTCCAGTCCATGAGCTACTCATTCGGACTCTGTGGACCATTAAAGTTGGATCCATCAGCAGCAGTTATCACAGACACTGCCTATACTGGGGGATTCATGTCAGGAAGAATACTGAGCATCATTATTGGTGCGTAAATGCATTGCTTCAGAGAAATTAGTAGTTTTTTTTAAAATCAAGCAGAAACTCTTAGCCTTGCTATAGTTTAACTGTAGCCTTAGATCACCAATTTTTTTAGCGTGTTACTATAGCGTGAATTTTTGTACCATTATACAAAGAACTGAACAAAAATGCATGCAAATCCGCATCGGTGAGTCCAACAATAGTTAATCTGGGCGTAAAAAATTTTAAGACACTGTCGTAGCAGGTAATTCTGAATTGATTGTATGTTGGTCCATTTTGTCTGTAGTTTTCTGGTTTCGGCGAAAATTCTCATGTGTCAATGAGCCCAGTGAAGGTCGTGTGATTTTTCAGTTGTTGTTTTTTCTTAGGGAGAAATCTTGATAATGGTTCAGGCTCAGATTAGTTATTGAAGGCTCCAGATTTGGCAATTGAAGGGAAAAAGATCTTTTTGGTTTGCAAATTAATCTATATAATGAATTAAGTATTGTTTTTCGAGTAAACAAATAAACAACAATCTTAACCCTTCTAGTTTTTATTGATTTTTCATTATAACCGCAAATGTAGACCATTGAATTATTTTGACTGTTTTATAGAAAGTTGAATAAAATGTTTGTACTTGTACTTGAAGGAATCAAAAGCAGCTACTTCCCATCATGTGTTGTTACTTCCCATCATAGAAGTCGCATGGTGATGGCTACTTGTCTGTTGGCATCTATCTTCTTAGCCCTAGTGAGTGAGTTCTCAGCAATGGGACTATACCTGGGCACTTTTGTGGTCGGATTCTTCATTTCTTCTGAGTTCGGGGGATGTGTCAATTGGTGTGCTAAGGTAATTTTACTTATGCAGTCCGTCAATTCGTTTTTATTATTAATTTTATCAATTGAACCGAAAATATTTGTTTGTTCGTAAAACAGGTTAATTGAAATCCCATTTCAGAAATTTTTCTACTCGATATACATCGAGATTTTTGAAATGCTTAATCATACGCAATTTGGTTTGATACATTCTCATTTATTACTTGCAAAGTTAGTGTGGTTGCCTTTAGTTTATTACACTTGCATGAGCAAGTGTCTTGTAATCTGAAACTAGACTTTTTCCCCCGTTAACACCTTTTCTTACAAATTTGTGAAATTGCTGTGTTAGTGAATCTTCGCAAATTCGAGACTCTTTCTCACTAGCACAGAGGTAACGGGGATGCCTTTGTTCCCTAATTTCTGGGGTTCGTGTCCCAGCCGGACTTTGTTTTTGAAATTGCTTATGAAATAGAAAAATTTTTTCCGGGAGAAATCGAATTGTCGGTTTCTCGGCTTATTTACACCAGTTCAGTATGCTATTAAGAACCTTCTTTTTTTCTTACCTAAGTCACAAGTATTGGTGCCACCTTTAGGGCACTTGTGCAGCTTTTTGATAGCCTGTGCTTTGACATTCGACTAGTAATAAGTTAACACAGTTCATGTGTTTTTAATTCATCAACTGAACCGAAAAAAGTTACTAGTTTCAAACAACAAAACAATCATAAAACTCGATTTCAACTCAAAGTTTTCTCACTCAATAGATCTCTCAATTTTTTGAAATCCTTAATTTATACATAATATGGCTTTATGCTTCCTGATTTGTTACATGCAAATGCATTTAGTTTGTTATATGCCAAATTGTGTCTATTTGTATTGGCAATTTATTAGCATATGTAGCTGCTTTATTCGTAACTAGTGTTTGTCGGTGGTTAAGTGTGCGTGGCTGAGTGGTTAGTGCGTAGATTGCTGTAGGTCGCAGATCGAATCCTAGACCTAGCCGAATTTTTGCTTATTCGAGGCGTATATCTATTTTTCTTATTGCACTTTCTAGAGCTGCTTTTTGTCATGTTCACGCTGGTGTTTGAGAAGTTGGGTCATTTTCTGGTGGTGTCTGCAGTTTTCATCGTAGATGCAATGGTTTTTGATTCGCTCCTGTTATTCAAGTTAATATCTCTGACGTTGTATATTTTCCTTGGTTTGTTTTTGCTTAAACGCTTTACTTGGCCTAAATAGTTTTGGTTTATGTTTTATTGGCTAAGATGCCTTATTTTGTGCCAGTTCAGGGCAAAATGATTTTTTAGTTTTGGTCTATAGTTTGTCATCTTATTTTTTGTCGTGTTAGTCCCCATAGCCCATCCTTTTAGAGCGTTACGAATTACGAAATAGGAATATAGTTTTTTTTTAGGTTTACAATTTACTTGAAAAAAATAATATATCACTTGATTTATAATTGGTTCAATTTCTTGACTGCTCGGACCCATTTTGCCTAAAGGTAACGAACCGCCGAGGTTATAGGTTCGAAACCGGCGAGGAGCTGTCTTTTGCAGAATGAATATATTCCGTTTCCAAAGAAACTGTCGGCCTTTCGGTTGTCTGATTGTTTTCTCAGCTTTGATTTTTTTCAGGAAAAGTCTCTAAATGTGTTTTTCAGCTCAAATTCATTTTTCGAGGTTTGACTTTGCTTTCTTCTTCATTTCATTCAATTTCCTTGTAATAAGGAAGGCAAACTCCATTATGAACATCGAAAGTTAAAAGGTCACAAAAACGTGATCGACTTCTAGTTTCGAAAATGGAATTTAGTTTTTAAAATTCCCAGTGAAAGAACAAACTACCTATTTATCCAGTTTTCTCGAATTGGGTTAATTTTTATCGAAAAAGTGCCAATCACTAATTGTTCTAAAAATTCGAAGAACTTTAAGGGCATCCATTTTTTTCTTTGAAATTCGAAGTTGATTTTTTTCAAGAAACTAGTCAGTTTTTTTTCGATTTAATTGCGTTCATTGACTCTTTTCTAACTGTCTCTCGGCTAAATTTGGGTTTTTTTTGGTTGCTGGTGTTTTCTTTATTTACTCCTGTAGTCAAGCTTCGCGCCCATTTCTTTTCTACAAACAGCTTTGATTTTCGGAAATGACTCCGCTCTGGTATGTTGACCATTTTTTGGACTTCTCTCGATAACTAGCTGGTCCAATCTAATATAGGCTTAATTGAGACAACAGGTTGTTGGAAGCGTACCTTCATAATTTGCTACGCCCAGCTTCTTTTACAAAAAAGTTATGGCCTTCAAACCAGTGAAATTTTTTTTCACACTCGAAAATTACCGTGCCAATTTTCAGATTATTTTTTCAATGGGGAACTTAATTTTGGGACTTTCATCTACTTTTATGATCACGATATGCTTTTAGCAGAAAAAAGTTTCGGAAAGTCAAGTTTTTGAACTTGGCCGTTATTAGAAATTCTTTGAATTTTCCTAAAAACTACCCTATCAAATCTGAGATGAAAATTTTAATCAAAATAAGCGGTTATTCCTTAATTTTTGGTAAGAGAAAGGTTATGTTTTAGGGAAAAATCCAAAATCTTAAAAGTTTTCACTCCAATTTTTTTCTTAGAGAAAAACTAACGTTTAGGGGAAAGTCCAAAAAAGTATCAAACATGTACCTTCAGCTTTGGTTGGCCGTACATGTCCTTCATCGAAACATCCAAAAACTTTGGTTCGCCTACTTTTTTTCCACATTTTTAATTTTTCTACTTAGGCTTTTTAATGATTGTGTCGCATCGCAAAGGTGCGTTTTTTAACTATAATATCCCTGGTTTTTTGTAATTTCCTTTTTTTTTGTTTTTTCACTTAAAACCTTCATTCAGTCTAAATGGTTTTGGATTGCTATAACGACTGAATAACCTCAATTTGCGTCGATTAAAAATAAAAATATGTTTAAATGCTTTTGTGTCAGTAATAATGCAGTTTTAATTCGAATTTCATTGAAGACCTAAAAACGTTCTATGGCAACAATTTTTTTCTGGATCAACGGGAGGGAGGTTACCTAATTCTGTTTTTGGATTTGTTTCCGCTCTATAAATAGTTCTGAATTCTTACTTTTTCCTCAGATTGAGCATCATTTGAGACAAAATTATGAAAAATTTGTTAATAACTGGTTTCGACGTCATTTTTTTTTTCAGTTTTTTACGTGGACTGATTAGCTTTCGTTTCTTTTCTCCTGCTAACTTGAAATCCTATGCTTGGGTGATATCGCAAGTGGAGAGAAGCTTCGCTTCGCGTTTGTGTTTCAAAATTTCTTGTCAGCTTATTGATTTGGAAGTTTTCTTGGAAATAAATTTTTTTGATAAGCGATTAGAAATTTTTTTTTGGTTTTTTCGTTTTTGTTTCGCATGTTTTTTGATGTCTGTCAAAGAAATCAATAAATGGAACTTTTTGTTAAGTTTATTTATTTGCCTTAATCGAATCAATCAGATCTTGATTTTATCTGATGCAAAAATTTGAAAAATTTGATTTTGCAGTTTTCTAATTAATTTTTTCGCTTGGACTGGGTGGGTTTGTCAAATGTTCCTTACTGAATGATTCGTGGTTAAGAGATTTGCTGGATTGTGCGTTTCAATGGTTTTCTTCATAACATATTCACGCTGGATTTTATGATAACTTCTAGTTATCCCGATCGTTATTTCAGTTTTACGGGGCGTTTGTTCTGAATAAAAGGCGTTCCTTTCCGCAGCGCTTGGTAAATAAAAAGTGAACTACTGCTTAAATGGTAAATTGTGAAGTTTGTATAGGTCATAACTGATTCAAATTATCCGGACAAAACTAATAAAACTTGAAACCTAAAACGCTTTTTCCTCAAATTGTGTTGATTTTAAACAAAAAAAAGATGAAATCCATTCTTGCTTAAAATTTAAACAGCTTTAGTATGATGCAATTTGTTTTGCAAAATTCGGGTTCAAAGATTTACCCAAAATTTGATCGTTGTTGATTCTTTTAGTCAATCAAAAATTACTCCGAACCTATACTATACGTTCATACGTTCAATCAAAAATTACTCCGAACCTACAGTGCTGATTTAAATTAACCGGACAAAACGCGTAAAACTTGAAATTTAAAACGCAGTTTTCTCAAATTGGGTTGAGTTAAGGTGAAAACTTATGCAGACAAAACTTGCTTAGAACTTTAGCACAATTAATATGGTGTAATTTGTTTTGCGAAATTCGGGTCCGAATTTTTACCCCAAAAATGGGTCATTTTGGCTTTTCTTAGTTAATCAAAAACTGCGCCAAAAATACTCAGTCGATCACAGGCATAATTATATCAAAGAGAGCCGCTTGTGTAGCTCAACAAACTTTATGAAGGGTATTTTCTTCAAAAAAAATTGCATATTGTTTAAAAATTGTTTTTAAATAAAAAGTTGGTATTTTATATAGTTAAAATAACCTTTTTTGTCTATCAAACAAAAATAAATTAACTTATACAATATTTTGGAGATTATACCCTTCTTAAAGTTTGTTGGGCTACGTAAGAGGCTCATTTTGATATATTTATGTCTGTGATCAACTGGGTGTTCTTGGCGTAATTTTTGATTAACTAAGAAAAGCTAAAATGACCCATTTTTGGGGTAAAATTTTGGACCCGAATTTCGCAAAACAAATTACACCATTTTAATTCTGCTAAAATTCTAAGCAAGTTTTGTCTGCATAAGTTTTCACCTAAACTCAACCCAATTTGAGAAAATGCGTTTCAAATTTCAAGTTTAACGCGTTTTGTCCGGTTAATTTAAATCAGCACTGTATACGTTCATACGTTCAACCAAAAATTACTCCAAACCTATACGTTCTATACGAACGGGCGCAAAAAACTGAAAGGTTGTCAGCGGGAGTAAAAGGTAGTGATATAGTGTTGTCAGTAATTGAACAAGTTGCTTTGGAGTAATTTTTGATTGACTAAAAAACCAAAAAAAACCTTTCTGGGGGATAATTTTTGGCCCGAATTTAGCAAAACAAATTACACCATATCAATTGTGTTGAAACTTTGGT